ACCTTTTTTTGTCGTTCCCCTAGTTCCTGCGCGAACATCCTCATCGTTCATCTACGCGAACGTCCTCGTCGCACTTCTACGCGAACGTCCTCGTCGCACTTCATGCGAACATCCAGAAACAAGCAAACATGCAACATGCGTAACTCGTCTACATAGGCAAGTACCTACCCCTCGCCGCCGTCGTTAACATACAAGGCGAAGTTGCGCTTTAAAGAGGTATGCGCTCGGCGACGCTCTCCTATCCCGACTCACTCGTCCACATCCTCCGGCCGCATTTCCGTACGATCTCTTCCTCATACCGCATTCCTGTACGATTCCTCTCTCATCCTGCATCCTAGATTCCTATACGATCTCTGCAACCGCAGCCTCCGAACCAGAAGTGGTAGACGGTGAGAGATAAGATTCTCATCCGCTGAGGTGAGAGGTCCATCCCATTCTACGAGGAATCCTAGGCGGTAAGTCGAAGTCCGCACATTAGTCGCAGGCCGCATATCAAGTTGAAGTTCGCACATTAGTCGAAGTCCGTTTATTTCAGTAGGGTGATTGGAATTTGACCACGTAACGAAGCAGCCCTTCCTTCCATTTTATTCTAAGATCCGGCGTCCTTTCCTTTCTTTTCCTCCTCATTCCGGACCCAAGATTCACTCGATGTCAGGGGTTCGACTCCCCCAGGCTGCGTTCTCTCTCTTTTCCTTAGACGGTGTCGGTGCGCCCTTGCTTACGTGCTCTGCTTTGAGTCGTACCCACCTTCGTGGCTTCGTAACTTCGCTTAGGAACGAGAAAGTTCGTCACTTTGATGGGATTATGTGAAAGTTCGTCAGTTCAACTCGGCACGTTCAAGCACCCGGACTCTCGGCCATCATTGTTACCTAACAAGGCCGTGCGGGGGTTTTTTTTTTATAGATCCCTTGCTAACACTAACTACTAACCGGCAATCTCGGCAAGCTGTTGATACCGATCACTCCGTGATGTGCCGAGGAGTTGCCGCTTGACAGGCTTGGAATACCAACTGGCTCGATACTGAAAGTTAGCGAAATTCAAGAAATAATGATAATAAATCGTAATAAAAGTTGCCGAAAGTTGCCGATCATCGGACTTACCTCAGCATAGTATTTCGATACCACAAGATTCCCTCAGCATACATTCAAACATGTATTCTGTCCTCCCATAAAATTGGAGTAGATGCAACAATTTATTTAAAAAATTTCTGACTGGTCGAAGTCAGTATCGGTTGCGAGACCAGGGAACAAGCAATAAAACCATCTCTTTTCTCGATACCGCTCCGCTGGGTTTCTCGATTCCACTCCGCTTGATACCGGCGGAATTGATCTCGGATCACACGGCAATTCCGTATATAGACGCATCTTCATTCGAAGCCTCGCTTTCCCCTCTTTCCCTGCTCATGGCTTGGGGTATTTTTGCGTTCAAAGCAAGCTTTATTAGGGACATCTTGGATGTGTTTTTCCCTTTGAATTTCCAAAACTTTGCCTGCCGGCAGCAGGTCAACTTCTACTACTTTTTGTGTGTTTTCTGTGACTTCAGGCTTACCTACAGAATGAGGTGTTGCCACCATAGTCGGACCAAAACACTGGTCCTTTCTGGCTTAATCACATACCTCCAAAGCACAAAATACTCTGTGGGGATCATAAATTGGCCTTATATATTATAAGTGGCCCTTGGTTTTCAACCCCAAATCTCCTAGTTCTTTGGTTCTAGGATCTCTTTCAGTTTCTTTGACTGGAACACACATTTCTACCTGTGATATTTTTCTTTGTGCCACCAAGTTCTCTGTCAAAATGCATGGTTGAATTGTATTTTTCTGCTGGACTTTGCTAGTCACACAATGGTCTTGTGTTGTAATAAGCTACATCTACTGGCAGACAGTAACCACAGCTACTGATCTATGTTTCCTATCTTCGTTGCTGGCCATCTTCTAATCTAGAATTTTACGGCCTACAGCTTTCCTTACAAAAATGTTTTGCGACCTCTGAGCTTCGAACCCACGCGCAGTTAGCTGATGTGCCGAGAAGCCGACGGTTTCAAACTCCGCTCAGTATCCAGTATCAGTATGATTGCAGCCAGAACTTCGTGACAACTTTTTGTCCCGATTTGGGAATCGTTACTGACACCCCAGTTTTTATCGAAATACAATAGCATTGTGTAAATAGCACTATATGAATGCCCTCTACAGATCCCCCGGAGTGAAAGTTCAAAAAGTGAAAAGCTTTTTTTTCCCTCCGAGATTTTGCGTTTTCAGTTCGGGCCGGTCATAACCGGTGGCTGTGCTCCGCCATCAATTGCGGCCGACGTCTTCCTCTCGCTCCATACTATGCCACGGGTCGCCCAAACCGCCACTCACCAGCACAGGGGCCATGTGCCGCTTGCTCTCGCTCCAATCAGATTTTGCTGGCCAGAAATCTCAACTCGAGCTGGTTGATGAGGGCCTTCAGCTCTGCCCTCTCCCCACCATCCGCCGGTTCTATCGACGTGCACATCATTACGCCAGTGTCTATCGTCTGGGTGCCACGGGACCGATTGCCGAGTTTGCTGTCAAAAGATTCCGGTCACATCGCGGAGTGCGTGCGACTGAATTGGTAGATGCAACAGCAGAGTGGAAGGCCAGGACAGAGGCGATTTTAAGAGGGGTGGCACCTGTAAGGTGGAAGGGAAAGGGCAAGCAGACGGCCGAATAGGTACACTAAATTTTGAAAATTTCACTCCCGATTTTGTGTTTTTTTTTTCCCACGCTATGACAAGCCCCGATTTTTTTGAAACGAAAAATTGACCTACAAACTACACCTAGTTTCATGCCTAATCCTGAATCTAGAGGGCCCTGCATCAAAATTCTGGCTTGTCATGAAGTCTTGGCTGCAATCATATCAACCACCTATATCAGTATCGAGCCCGAACTTTCATAGAAAGCAATCAAAATGGATAATTCTATTTAGCAGCCCCCACGTGATATTATCTTATCACCGGCGTCGAGCTCTGGCTGAGGTGACTGCAAAGTTGAGGTCTCGGGGCGAAGAGAAGAAGGGCCTGAGTGTGAATGCACTTGTTGCAGTTGAAAAGAAGCTTAGCTGGGTGAGTGTGAGCAAATGCTCATCGGACAAGGAGAATTCTGCAGATTTGATCTTATCTCCCAGGAAGAGGTGTAGGCTGTAACATAGTAATCTTGTATCTTGCGGGCTGGGTGTGAAGTGTAAATAATATCTTGTTAATTGTATTGGCCTGGTACTAGCTATCTTATCGGTTATCTTATTGAAGTTTGCTCACATGGGGGCTGCTAAATAAGTTATTTGGCAACCCTGCTCGAAAACAGGGGGCTGCTAAAGAAGGGGGGCTGCCAAATAGAATTATCCAATCAAAATCACAAGTTTCACGTATTCCCATCACCTTGCTTTAGTAAAGTCCCCCTCCTCCGATATTATAGCCACTTTCCCTGCAAAGAACAAATACATGCACACAATGTAGATTAGATTATGTCAACAACACCAAATACTATGCTGGCTTGACCCTCCGTTTTCTACAGGGGTCTGCAAAGGACAAATACGTACACATTACTCTGATTAGATTGCTTGCTAAAACACGACCAAATACTATATTTCACTGACCCGCCGTATTGCTGCAGGGTCTGCAACAGACAGGGGTTGCGATTCCATGGCTTTCCGATTAATTTTTGGTCAAAATAGATAAGATAGCTTGTTGGGTCCTGCTCTTCAGGTTGGAATTTCCACTATGTCTACTCACTCCTTCTTTTTTTTCTGTTCAGACTCAAACTTTCGCCGCTTTCGAAGAGGCAACATCCTAGTGTTCAAACCACGAAGAGCCTGCGAGTGCGATATCTGTGTCTCTTTCCCAAATCTCAGCGTGATTAATTGTGATGTACTTGTTCAGTCTGAAACTTAGCAAGCACGAGAGCCGTAGTTCTAAAATGATATAAATATCATGGGGAATGACGACACCAACTTTAATAACGAGCTGGTAGCTAAGACAAGTATGTGGTAACAAATGGTACTAACTTTCATGCATAGGTAATGTGTCAGCGGCTCCAACGAGAATGACAGAGTGCGGGTACTGGGGATAAGGCGGGTAAGTGGAATGGGTCGGCTCGGTCAGATTTTTGATCCAAATCCTAGAATATGCGGGCGAGGGTGTTCCGGCGGGTGCCGGGTGCCGGGTGCCGTCTGCGTAGCGGGAGTGCTGAGGGGCGATGTGGGTGGAAAAGCAAGCACAAAACAGACAAAGAGGTGCTGGGTCGGAGTTTTTTGAGAAGGCTCGTGCAGCCCGTTGCTTAATTTTGGTTATCCGCTAATCTATGACTCGGTCGTTCATGGACTACTGCTTAGCAAAGCAAGGTATTGAGACTGCATCAGCAGGCACCTAGTCAAAGTCACGAGCTTCCGCAATACTAAGCGAAGTCACGAAGTCACGAAGTCACGAAGTCACGAAGTCACGAAGTCACGAAGTCACGAAAATGGCGCGGACTCTCTGCTTTACCGCAATCAGTTTGGACTACAACATCGAAAAGCTGGTTCCAACGAATTGAAAATTCATAAACTTCACCTGGAGGTTCGAAGCATGCAAATTCAGCAACTGTTGGTCGTTCATCGGCAAAGCAGGATAAAAGCAGGTTCAAACATTGGATATGGCGCCTTCGCGGATAAGGATGATCATCCGATTCTGATAAGATATTACATTGTCGGATTTATAGCGGGATGGGGCTCGACTCCCACGAAGGCATATGCCATCCTAATCACGTAATTTTGATAACTGAGAAAGGAACGATGCAAAATGAAGGTGGGATGTGTTATCATGAAGAGGGCTTTACGCCGAAAATTCAGAGTTATTCAAGGTTCAAAGGTTCAAGCTGCGAGTTTCTGGTGCGAGGAATGTAGGCATTATTGTCGCAGATCGCACATGGGAATGGGAACAGATTTTAATAGTCCTGTCGGCTGATAATAGACTTCTGAAATAAAATCAACCGATTTTCCAAAACATGGCCCAGGCTCGATTCGAACAAGCATTTCCGGCAAGACTTGGCTGGACAAGGCTGATTAAACGCAGGCGCGGAAACCGTCCGCCACCGGGCCTTCCTACCGTATCTGCGAACTCTGTTAGGTAGATATCAATCCAAGGGCGATGTGACTGGTGACTGGTCAGAAAAAGAAAGATTTAAGATGAGTACCGAGAAGAATTTGGGACACTCGGCTCAGGGGGCCGTGTAGGGGAGAAGAAATCAAACGAGCCCTCATTTTGTTCACCATGCCAGAGGAAAGGAAGTTTCGGATCTGGAGAAGTACTCACCGGTGCAGGCGATTCAAGACCCGTCCTTCATGATGTATCATAGCTGTGAGACCAATTCCAAGCCCCTCAAAATGACGTACGATCGTTAATAATCCTCTGCTCGCTGGGCTCACGGATGCTGCAATAAAAAAAGCAGGCTTGAACGAAGACTGGCCCAGGCTCGAATCGAACGAGTGATTCCCGCAGATGTGGAGAGGTCCGATGCCCATAGACGGTGCAGGTGCGGACCGTCCGCTACTGGGCCTTTCTACAGTAGGTGGGACCTGGAAGCTGCGATGGCCAGTAAAATCAGTTACGAGGCGTAGAAATTCGCTTGCACATTAATAAGAAACGGGCAAAAAGCGGAGATGCCTAGAGGTATTCCTTCGTGGTGATCTGGAGTCGGAGGGCCTGATTCGCGGCACATGGTTGTCTTGGGGTATGTTATTGGACCACACCTTCGGGTGGTCATTAGACCACACGGATCACATGGCGGTACACGGATCACATAATTTTAATCGAGGGATGTGAAGTGAAGGTCGAGGGATGTGAACACAGTACTGTAATCTTAATCGAGGAATATAAACATAGAGTAATCTAATGCTAATGCAACCGAGACAAGTGATGCAGGGCGAAAACCCCATCAAAAAATGCCCGAGATCATCGCAAAAATACCAAGATCATCAACTAAAAGCGAAAGGAAGAAAGACGCTCGTTCGCCTACTGCAGATTGCAGAAGACGACATAGAAAGATGACCTCAAGTCAGCCGCTGAACAGCCGCCAAGCACTTATTTCCGAGTCGAACAGCCGCCAGAGTGCGTCTGACTCTGAGTCACTCCGATCTCGATCTCCAGACTGTCGCCTCGGAGAAGGATGTGAAGGAGTGGACGCAACGCTGGCGAAGCGTTGGGTTACTGTGAAATAGTGTGATAAATGAAACTGTGAAACCGCGGGATAAATAAATGGGTTACTGTGAAATCGCGTGATAAACAAATGCATCTCACGGAGGAAATGCGGAGGGGAGAGTCGTATCCGCCACTGAACATCATCAAGCTTTGTGTTTTAAAATGAAGAAATTAATTCGCTCTCGTGGGGTGAGATGATAAATCCCGCGCACTCTCTCTCCAAAACCGCTTGTGCGCAGGCAATTGTCGCGAATCAATATTTCATTGGTACTAGCGTACACAAGTTCCAATACCGTTACGAGATGGGATGATAACCAGAGTGATGTTTGCGGGGATAGCAGTAGCAGGCGACGCTGGAAAGGGGGGAGCAAAAGTGGTGATTTAGAGATCGTCCAGAGTGGGATGCAAGTACGAACGGTTTCCAAAGGGGTTGTACGATGGTTACGACGAATGCAACCTCGTTAACTCCGCCAACATATCATCATAATTCCAAAAAGTCGCATCGAATCCTCCGCTACGCAACACCTGTATTTGAGCATATATCTCCTCCAAAGGCTCGCTATCAGTATCCCAGCTGTGAAATATACGGAGGAGCTGTAAACGGGAGGGAGTTTGGAAGCGTGATTTTGCCATGGCGAAGAAGACATCCACAGGGAATTCATCGATGCTCGAATACCCGTATAACATTGAACTGAGGTTGGGGCACAGGTCGGAAGAGGAATCCGTTGCGAACATGGCGTTGAAAAGGCTGGTCGGAGCCGCCGCCTGCAGGGAGGTACTGGCAACCTGCAACAGGAGATATGTGAGAGTTGGAAGACGTTGTAGGACAGCAATGAGTTCAGATGACATCGGGAAGGAGAGCAAAACCAGTTTGGTCAAGCTGCAGGAGGAACGGTGGATGAAGAGAAGAAGTATGCCCCGTTCCAGATTTTGTTCCACAAACAGAGACTGCAGCAATGGTGTTGTGAGGTTCACCAAGAATCCGCCCTCTTCCAAATGGAGACGGCGAAGCAAAGGAAGTACGATGGCTTCGTTCTTCAGAGCTTCATGCCAGTTGAAGTTGAAGAAGCCGAGATGACATTCCAGCAGATTGGGGGCACTCTGCAGAATCTCGAGTTGCCGCTGCAAAGTATATGTCCCGTGATAGTGCGTTATTTGCCCCCATGGCACGACAATCGACGGTGAAAGGTCTGTGAAGTCTTCGTTGGTAAGAATCACTTCACGCAGATTGTGAGCCGCCGAAAAAACATCCGGTATCGCTACATTGGAGTGTCCAAGCACTTGCAATGTTTGCAATGCAGAGAAGGTGCCGTTGCCCGGCCGCAGCCAATCGAGTGCGTCATCAGGATGCAGGGCGTACAAATGGATGGTAATGAACCGACTGAAGTGAGGGCGGAGCGAGTCGAGAAGGCGAGGATTGATAGGATCTCTAGTTCCCTGCCAATGAACGTAAAGCCGACCATTGCCCGACCGGAGGAGCTGCGTTGTAATCGCGGACAGTGGGGAATTGCGATCAGAAGGGATATCGATAGAAGACCAGAGAATGGGATAGGAAAGGGCAGATTCTCTCCAGGATCTGCATATATGGCCAAGATGCCAGGGGGGGTCCTTCGGGCGAGGGCCGGAAAAGAATGTCAACGCGAATATCTCGCAGATTAACTCCGGGGGTACGCGGCGGACACATGATATGATAGCTCGATGCTGGCGAGCAGATTCCGCGGCCGCGTCACGCCTTTGAACTAGATGTGCGAGTGCGGCCCGCAAATTATCGATCTGGGGGTCCAAAACATCTATGCGATCTAGTTCGTTGGTGATGATACGGTGGATATGGGGGAGAGCGGAGTCGAGAGGCACGTCGTTACTCGTCAGAAGGCGAGTCAAATCGGGGGAAGACTCGGACGCTGCTGGCGCTGGTGGCAGGTCGAGGATCGCAAGACTCGCGGCTGGGGGCGCCCCGCATTTCCAGCAGGATTGTGGCATGGTAGATGCTGTGGGGAGTGAGTTTGATTCAACGAAACGCATTTGCCACCTACTCAATGTTGCGTACCCAAATTCAATGAGTGTGCGGTGGTCGGAGTCAAGAAGTTTGTCATCACGTGCTGTCGACACGCGGAAAGCAGGCATAAATAATCGCGTGGAATAAACATGTACAATTGACCGGTGTGTAATCATTTTATCACTCTTCCTGCAAGTCAAATAAATCAATGAATCGGAATTCCCGCTGCATCATCGTATGCAATCGCGTTGCGTGAAAACACCAAAACAAACCATTCTCACCAGCGCTTCTCGACAACTTGGATTCCCAAAACTGCATAAGTTATGCGACACGCTCCGAGTTCCTCTAAATATGTCTAATCTCCAGACTGTCACCTCTGAGACCAGGAGGCAAAAGAGTGGACTGGCGAACCGTTGGGTCTATGAAATCGCGTAATAAACAAATGCATCTCGCGGAGGAAATGCGGAGGGGAGAGTCGTATCCGCCACCGCACATTAATATTATCAAGCTTTGTGTTGTAAAATGAAGAAATTAATTCGATTTCGTGGGGTGAAATGATAGTTGAAGCTCTCAATACGTACATACATTTCTCTCCAAAACTGGTTGTGCGTAGGCAATTCTCGCGAATCAATATTTCATTGGTACTGGCGTACACAAGTTCTAATACCGTTACGAGATGGGATGATAGCCAGAGTATTTCGGAGTGTTGTTTGCGGGGATAGCAGTAGCAGACGACACTGGAAAGGGGGGAACAAAAGTGGTGGTTAGAGATCGTCTAGAGTGGGATGCAAGCACGAACGGTTTCCAAAGGGGTTATGCGATGGCTACGACGAACACGACCTCGTCAGCTCCGCCCGCATCTCGTCATAATCCCAAAAAGCGGCATTGAATCCTACGCCACGCAACATCTGTATTCGAGCATAGATGTCGTCCAAGAGCCCGCCAGAAACATTCCAGCTGCAAAATATTCGGAGAACCTGTAAACGGGAGGGAGTTTGGAAGCGGGATTCTGCCATGGCGAAGAAGGCACCCGCCGGGAATTCATCGATGCTCGGATACCCGAATAACATTGAACTAAGGTTGGGACACAGGTCGGGAGAGGAATCCGTTATGCGCATGGCATTGAAAAGGT